CTGGTTAGCAGTCAAGTGCCTTAGGCACTAAGCTACCAGAGCTCCCACTCACTAGGCTAGACCCCCCAAATCGTCAGTCCTCAGCCCCGTCCTGCCTGCCCCTGGGTGGTCTCCACCTTGTCCCTTCCTCCCCACACCCAGACTCCAATCTCTCTGCCCTACCCGGCCCCAGAGGCTCTTTCTATACCCAACGCTGACTCTTCCCGTCCCCTGTCCACTGTCTTCCCCTGGTTCCTGGTTCCCTAGTGGCCTGGAGCAGAGGCCCCTTCTTCCCTGCTCCTTGGGTCTCCCCAGGGTCACCCCCTCATTTCAGGATTGGGGGGTCTTTCCTTCCATTGTGTATTGCCAAATGGTAGGCACTGACTTAGGCCCCTCAAAATATGTATTGCAATCCTAATCTCTAAGCCTTGCTACCTGGGAAGCATTTTCTCTGGCATGTTAACGAGGACATGTCACTGTTAGGTATGTTTTATGCCAATCACTTTTGAGATATAACAGGAGGACATTAGACACAGAAGTGAACAGGCACAGATGGGGAAGGCAGATGCCATGCCACATGGAAATCGCCAAGGAACCCAGCACCAGAAGCCGAAAAGAGACCAGAACTTTCCCCAGAACCGAGAAAGAAAAAGCCCTCCTCTACAACCAGCGCCCTGAAGTCATACTTGTAGCCTCCCGAACGATGAGAAAATTAATTTCTGTTCATGAAAGCCACCCACTTGTGCTACTTCTGTTATAAGCAGCACTAGAAAACTGAGACACCAAATGCACCCATTTCTTTGCTTTTTAGGTAGAAGATGCTATTTTCCACCAAACTCAGCCCTTTTCTACAATGATACAGCGCAGACTGGGCCCACTCGCTCAGCTGCGGGCCTCATAGTAACCTTTCATTCAGGGGCCCACTCACCTTCCCAGCCTGTCACCCCAAATCCCAGCTCCCCTGTCGTCGTCCACCCTGAACTACTGCAGTTCTACCCACTGCTCATGTCTTCTCCTCTCTGGGCCTTTGTACACGCTGTCCCCCTGCCTGGAATAAAAGCAGTCCTCAAGTTACGAATGTCTGACTCACAGACAACCTGTGGTTATGAGCCAATGCCCGTAAAGCCTGTTATGTTAAAAATGTGATGTACGTGCAATGGTTTTTAATCCCAAACGTGTGCTATTTTGTGACGCACATCAAGTTATTATTATTACTGTATTACGTTGAAGATGGTTTTGTGTATCTAGATGAGTTTGTTTAATGTTTTTTTATGTATAGAAAGGTATACTATATGCCCACTCCTCACTTAGCAACACGGTTAGGTCCCAAAGACCAGGGGGTTATGTGAAAATCGGTGTTTATGCAGATATGGATGATGGCCATATCACGTCACA